AATGAAATTGAAAATCTGGCTGAGAGCACTTACCAGGCAGGCGCCGCCCGCTTTCAGAGACTCGTTGCAAATGGAGTCCAACCCAGTGGCCTTGTTATTCTGCAAGAGACGGAGCACACTGTCAATCTCATCTGACGAGATAGCACGCTCGCAGAACTCGGGGCCAACCTGGTTGTTGGGCTCCAAACTCACCATCTGTTCAATCTCCTTTAGATGGTTTGAGTCAAAGCGCTGATCATTAGGATTGTGTCTACCTAGTGATGAGTGTAGGTCAAGGAGGATGTAATCTCATGAGGGTTAAAAGTGACGTCTGAGCTGGAGGAGTTTGGATCAAGCTTAAGATTGAGCAGAGGAGTCTGATCTTTGCCTTTCTTACGGAGTTTCACGATTTCTTTGTAGAAGTGTGAACGATCAGATACGAACAGTATCGAACGGTTCATTTGGGCCAGCCTCGGCCCAGGCCGAGTGGAATACTGATCGTCGCCCGCATTGCCGTGCGATGCTGTGCCCGCCCTACTGATACTGATCGGACGGCTTCAAGTTTTAGCTACCCTGCAGTTCGATTGCAAGCCTAGGGCCCCGATCGATTCAATTCTGCACCGGTACGGACCAATGCCCCGGGAACCGCTGATTCCTAGTTCGGCGCCCAACGCAGCCCAACGCACGCCGGAACGGCGTTCCCGGTGCAATGCCCCGGTCCGTAGAGAACCGGTTCTAATACTTCAATAGGTACCTGCATGCGCTGGCAGAATATGAAGTCCGATCTTGGAACGCGAAAAGTTTGACCAGATCATAACCGGCCCTGTCAGGCCTGACCAACGCCCCATACGTAGTCGGCAATTTTTGATCCGACTATTAGTGCCCCTCGGGGAAACTTGTTCACAGAGAGATTGCCTCGGACTGATGAGGTATTAAGCAACCGGGGGACAATTATTCACGGCTTACAGCCCGGGGCAAATACCTTCCCGGAACTTACGGAGGTTTCGAAATGACCAAGATGGTCACCATTCACAGTCATGGCCTGGTTGGTTTGCAACCGAATCTAGGCAATCCGTTCCAATTGCACTGAGTACCGCTCGAGAATTGCCCTGTCTGGCAACCCTTGCAGAAAAGCGCAGGGAGAACACATTCGGAAACTTAAAGCGTCGTCCTTTGACAAGTTGTTTGGTGAGCCGCCTTTGTTCCCTCCTCACGACCTCCGCTTTTCCTCAACAAATATCTCGGGCGACACCATGGCAGAATCAAGGGAGGAAAATGTGTACCTGGCAAAACTTGCAGAGCAGGCGGAGAGATATGATGAGATGGTTGAGGCCATGGAGAAGGTTGCGAAGACCGTCAGTGTAGAAGAACTTACGGTCGAGGAGAGGAATCTTCTTTCAGTTGCCTACAAGAATGTCATCGGGGCCAGGCGTGCTTCATGGAGAATTGTGTCCTCAATTGAGCAGAAGGAGGAGAGCAAAGGAAACGAGGACCATGTAAAGTTGATCAAGGAGTACAGGGCCAAAATTGAAAGCGAACTTTCACACATCTGTGAGGGGATCTTGAACCTGCTTGATGAACATCTGATCCCGTCATCAACAACTGGGGAGTCTAAGGTGTTCTACCTCAAGATGAAGGGTGATTACCACCGATACTTGGCCGAGTTCAAGACAGGCGCAGAGAGGAAAGAGGCTGCTGAGAGCACGCTTCTTGCCTACAAGTCTGCACAGGTGAGTATGGTGGTTTGGCTTGTATATACATCAATCCAATGTTTTTCTTCTCTGCTCCTTCTGCTTGCGAAATGAAAGTTGTATGCTGGTACATCTAGTCATCTACTGCTTGTGATCCCAGTCCCTCATTTTCTGCTACAGACAGGCAACATTTGATGTCTCACCTTGGGATTATTGTCTATGTGTGCAGGAGATCGCTTTGGTTGACCTTGCCCCGACCCACCCCATCCGCCTTGGACTCGCCCTCAACTTCTCGGTCTTCTACTATGAGATTCTGAACTCCCCTGAAAGAGCATGCTCGCTGGCTAAGCAGGTAAGTTCTGTCATCATCTTAAGGAAACTTATACACTTTAGGGTTCTGTGCTTGCCTATCACTAGAGCAACGCTGGTATGGACGATGATACCAGCTTCCGTGCAAGATGCATCAGTGGACCTTTGATTTCCCTGCAAAAGTGCATGTTGCAGCAGAATACACTCAAGAGTTTGCAAGGTTGCTCAGATGTGGCTGGGGAGCAAATCAGCAATAAGATGCTACCATCCACGTCTTAGGTAAATATACTGGGAGTTGTGCTCAAGCAAGGAGAAATACTGTGCTGCTTGGGATATTGTGCGTACTAAGCAAACCTTTTGCTGCAGGCGTTTGATGAGGCAATTGCTGAGCTGGACACCCTAGGGGAGGAGTCGTACAAGGACAGCACTCTCATCATGCAATTGTTGAGGGACAACTTGACATTGTGGACATCAGATATGCAGGTAAGCGCGGATGGTTTGTGATTTGTTTTGAGCTTCCCAGTTAGGTTTCTATACAGTTTTGGATGAAGAGCAGCGAGATTGATGACATCGCTCGGAGGGCTTGCTGTTGTGCAGGCAATTGGGGATGTCTACCACAGGAATTGTTGCTGCCAAATGACTCCTGATCCTGAATTGTGTTTGCCAATGGGGTTCAGAACAAGAGTTATACTGATTGACCACCTCTTCCATGTCGCAGGATGATCAAGGAGAGGAGGGGAAGCAAGATGACGGCACAAAGGTGGAAGATGCCGACGAAAGTTGAGGAAAGCATTGTAGTAGCTTCTATCATATGTTACAATATTGTCCGACAGTGTTAAGGCTAGGGGCTTGCACATCTGATGAAGGCAGATTTGCAAGCTCAAAGGGATGCTTTTGCTTCTGTGTTGGCAAAAGTTCACAGCAAGGTTTGGGGGTCAGAAGTCGTTGACTTGGGTTGTGTGCCAGGTCATGGAGTGACAGTGAAAAGCGTGGGTTGACCTGTTGGAAGCCTGGAAAAGTACACTGTATTCAGCATGTTCAGAAACGTGTGACCCTGATATAATCTGACATTTATTGGTGGTCCTGCCAATGCCCTCAAGGTGATGAGATGTTTTGAGCTTGACGCATCAATCAGGCAGGCTCGCCTTGGGATTCAAGGTATTTGGCAATCTGTTACACCATGTCGGAGGCTGCACTGCGTAGATTTTCAACATGCAACCTGTTGGTTCAATATGGTCAATACAGTGCATCTCGATGTTTGGGTTGCCGTAACGGTGCAGTGGCATCAGACGTCTTGAGTTGGCACATATAGGACTATATGTACCCTCACATTTGCATGTTCCATTTGTCCAAATTGAGTTGACTTAGCTAGCTAGTTCCGTGGTTTTGTGCATGCATTCTGACTTCCGATCGCCCTGTCTAACTCCTTGCATGCAAGCTCTGATCGTCGGAAGGCGGTTTTCTATGCAATTCTATCTTATCCCTCATGTATACAGTATAAACGTTTTATTACGACAAGAACTCCATGTATGCTGTACATGTTCATCAGCATAAAGCTAGCATCATCGTCATATCCTGTCTAGCTCTAGCTAGTCATGGCCTTTCACAAAAAAAGTTGGGCTAGCCGCACAATTCAATGCGGCCAGGGCCTACATAATCGACAATGGATACAATCATTAATCGGAATCAATTGCATCTACAGGGGCGGCCTCCTTTGTTTATCTCAAATGCATGCAACACAGCTCAAGATATGACCTAATGATAGTCGATGTGCTCAGAAGTGCAGCTCTTCATTCTGTCCAATAGTTAGAGAGGCGGCCTCTTGCTGTAAGCGTCTTGCTGCTGTAAGTTGCAGGAACCCGTGTATGTATCAAAGCATGCGTCTAAGTTGGATCTTTGCAGACTCTTGCAACCCCGTCTGTTGCAGATTGAGACCCGAGTCCATGATGACGTTGGCAGCTACATCAATGGCAACTCCCATTTCTTTTGATTAACTGGAGTACACATTTTGACAAGTATTTCGAGTTGGACGATGCTCATTGAAAAAATGCTTTGGATACACACTCTCTGCTGGGAGTCTTGTGACAACGCCAAACTGCCAGTGGTAAGAGCGGTACAGCGAAAGGGGTGAGCTTTAAGCTTCCTTCAATGCCCCCTTGCTTTGCCGAGATTCTGCCTGTAGCAAAAAACGGATACGGCCTGTCTTGAATCAATCAGATTCGCACCTTCTGCAAACCCTTTCATAACAGCGTGGCGTGCATTCTTACAGGTTGAATCCATCTCATGCCGAATGTCCCACCGGTTGTGAGGGACGGGAAGAGCTGCGAGCAAAGGCAAAAGCTTGAAGGTCTCCTCTACGTTCTCGCAACAGCATTCCTCCAGACTCTGGGTCGAAAGCAGGGACGAGATGCAGATAATCAGGTCAAGCACACTTTTGCTTACCATTGCTTACCATTCTAGTCACAGGTTCCACTTAGGGTCACCAAAACGGGTGTCCGATGTGGACAGTTGTATAATACCCCTGCGAGACAAGCAGAGAATCCAATGAGGCAGGCAGAGGACGCACGTTCCTATTTATTGGAGGCTTCAGTGCTATGCTTCGCCCATAGCCTATGCCTCGGCCATAGCGTCTCTGACCAACAACGCAGTTGCAGACTGCCATCGTCCGGACCGTGTACCTGAGCATCCTCCGAGCTGTAAGCCGCTGCAAGAGAAATAACTGGCAGCATGAGCGTTGCACGGCCAGCACGCTCTCTCAGAAGCGTTGCCCCAGAGCATTACAAGGCTTCCAAGTCCATCGTTTCGGACAGCCTGACGGTCGATTACCATGCACCTTTCACCGCTCTGTCTTATTTCCAACGACGATGGGGCTGCCCTCCCTCCTCCCAGCTTTTCGTCCTTTTGGGCCTTCCTTTAGATTTAGGGAGAATGATAGTTGGGAGTGCTCACGCACGAATCAAGTCGGCGCAGCATCAAGTAAGCAGGGACGGGAAGGCTGTCTCACCTGATGAGAAGGCGTCTCATTCTACATATGGGGGAGGGAAGTCTCCCTGATGCAACGAAGTCGGAGCTGGAGCGAAAGAGGCGCCGCCCGGTGGCTTCCTCTCAGACATCTGCACATGGAAAGGCGTTTTATGCGACAGGAAAAAGACGCCCTCAGAACTTTCCAGTGCTGAAGATGCGAGACGTTACAGACCGCCATAGTTGTGTTGACGTCAAGCTAGTCGCCGTGACACGACGAGGGAGCTGCAACGTAGCTCTTGCCCACCTCTAGCCCGATTCCATCCTTGCACGATGGAATCTTCTTTTAGATTCGAAGGAGAGGAAGGGACAGGCAGGAAAGCGGTGAGAAGGGAGCACGGGATCACGAGCTACGCAGCTCAAAAGTGCAGGCCTCGATGAACTCCACATCGCATAGTGACATTTCAAATTGGGCAATCGAAAGAGAGAGACGGGGAGGTCTTTTCAGCTCTTAAGTGTTTGCACCAACGGGGTGACTATACCAGGCTGACCTCAGAGTCGGCTCCTTTCAAGCAGGCTCTGGCCTAAACGAACCGGCGCACAGCTGGAAAAGAGGCAGCAAATCCCAGATGGTATCTCACAAGGCGTTCGTTTGTGACATTCAAGAGTCAACGGTTCGAAACCAGTCAATGATTCAAGGGCTTTCTGATTTGAAGGACTGGAGTCTGCCCGGAACAGATTGGTGTAATATGGCGAAGGTTCATACTAAATCAACCGGCAACCGCAAGCATGCAACTTTTTTTGCATTACTGAAGGAGCAACCGTTTGAATTTAGGATGCGGGTTCTTGCTGACGGTGCACGCTCGCTCAGAGATGGCTCTCCCACGACCTTGGAGCTTCGGCTTTCGCGGTGATATGCAGCGCTTGAAAGTGGCGGAAGCGAGCGCAACAGACAGAATTTGTCTCAGAGGCCTTGTTCTTCATCCCCACAGAAGTTTAAGGTCAGACAGCCCCCAGAAGAAGTGAAATAGAAGGCCATCCGGCATCTGATACAGGCTGAGGCCTGTCTGTTTAAAGCAAGAGAAAACATCTGCATCGCCCAAAGGGGACCAAAGCGCTTGCTGAAAGGGTAAAATTCTATTATTGGACGAGCTAATGCAATAAAGGAAGGAGCAACAGGTGTTGCAGTCGTTCCTGATTCACAGACGACCAGCCGAGCTGAGAGGCTTGAGGGATGGCTCACATTGAACCTCAGCTTCCGGCTGAAGAACGAGACGTTGTTGGAGAAGAGCTCGATGGCATAGCGAGCAGTCTCAGGATCCTGAAACTCGGCGAAACCGAATCCGCGGTGGCGGTTCTCTTTGTCCTTGTCGCGGGGGATGTTGACGTCAACAAGGGGCCCTGCAAGGCCCGGGGCTATACATGTTGGAACACCAGGGTTTGCGGGACAGGAGAGGAGCTTGAAAAAGATTCGATTCAGGCCGTACCTTCCCGACAAGAACCGCAATCAGATCTGAAGCTTGGTTTGAGCATTGGCTGCTACTTGGAACAACTTTCACAGAGCGATGGAGTTGAAAAAGGATTCCACACTAGGAAGAGGTCACTGGTTGTACAGGAGTTACGTTGAAACACTAAGTCCAGATCGAAGGAAGTTTTCTAACAAGCTCAAATCGGCAAAGTTTCAGACAGTCTGCAAAAACCAGGATTTACCCAAATATGAGATGAACTGGGTCAGGACTAATCGTAGGGAAGGTATGAGAGGTCACCTGCTTGGACCATCAATTCGTAGATTAGTCTGCAAGGAAGGCGGAACAACGTTGTCAGCTAAAGGAGGACAGAAGCGCCTTCCAGCTATGGCAGCCTACATATCAGCCATTTGATTGAGCCTGGGCGTTCTTGCACAAACCAAGGGCCGCCAGCTTGGTAGAGACTTTACTAAATCGTGACTATTCTGCGTCCTCTTCCACAGAGTCTCATTACACGAGTAAAGTCCAATGCACGGCACTTCAAGGTGGCCTAAGAGCACTTCAGTTGGTGAGTGCCCTCTTGCCGGGTCCCAAGCTCTTTCTTGCTGCAGCCTTTGAGGCTTGTCTAGAAGCAGCAACAGTCATTGATTCAAACGCACCTTTCATCAACACGCGGGTCCAAGTTTCCTGCAAAGCAGAATGCGTTGTGCACATTAGCACCCCCCAAAAAATGAAATGCATCACTCATTAAACATAAAGCCTCCACTGGCTCAGCACAGGTGCAAGCATAACTGACTTTTACAAAGACCTGAAAAAGAACTGGAATGGGGTCGTCGTGTGCGTGCATTGCTGGTCGCATGCAGGAGGAGACTGTTGGATGCTGACAACTCACCAATGAACACCGTGCTTTCTTTCCCCATTATCTCACAAAAAACTCGCTCATTCAGTCGTCACTGAAATGAGGGTGTCAATATTTGCAGATGCGGAAAGGATGAGACTTTATCAGCGGTAGGAGCCCTTTTCTGATTCACGGAGAAAATCCTGCCCAACTACTTTGCTGACAGTTTCACAAGCTGTCTGCATGAAAGATTGGCCTCCAGAGCATCTAGTCAAGACGTTTACAGCCTCCCTCTCGTGTGGCATGTGTACCACAAACAGCTGCCCGAGCAAGTGCAGCTAACAATGGCCGGA